GGCATCCCATATGGGCACTGGGTTCTAGACCTGGTTGCTCCTCTTCCAGTCCAGCTCTCTGCTGTGGCCCAGGAGGGCAGTGGAGGATGGCCCAAGTCCTTGGGCCCTGCACCCACATGGGAGACCAGGAGGAAGTGCCTGACTCCTGGCTTCGGATCAGTGCAGTGCCGGCCATGGCGGCCATTGTGGGGTGAACCAACGGAAGGAAGGCCTTTCTCTCTGTCTCTCTCTGTCTGTAACTCTGTGGGGAGCAACCCGGACTAGACTAAGTTACTGGAATTAAGACTTATTCTATGCATCTGCTCTCCCACAATATGGCGCTGAGAAGGGAGAAGCAGCTTCTACACAGCTGCCTCCAGTTCAACCAATAAACTGTAGGACCTGCTCCTGATTGGAGGAGAGCAGCGTACTCGGCGTGTGGGTAGCAGAGTTGGGATTGGTGGAAGAGGACTATAAAGGAGGAGAGAGACAATATGCACCAGGAACATCTAAGGGGAACATCTATCTGAAGGAACACCTGTGCAGCCCCCGAGAAAGCCGGCCGGCGGTGTGCCGCTCCCCTGCGGAAGTGGGGAAAGTGGCCAGGGGGAACCGCCCTTCCACGGAGGTGGAAGGGATGGTAGCCAACCCGGGAAGAACCAGCAGCAAACCCAGGAAGGGCCGAGCAGACGAAAGAACAGCGCAGGGTCCTGTGTCATTCCTCCACGAAGACGGGGAGCGACAAACTCTACCTGTCAAATAAATAAATAAAAAATCTTAAAAAAAAATTTTTAGTTGTAAGGCAGAGCTACAGGGAAGGGGGAAGATGAGAGAGAGAGATAGAGAAAGACACTATCTGTCATCTGCTAATTCACTCCCCAGAGGGCCATAATGTACAGGACTGGGCCAGTCCAAAGCCAGGAGCCAGGCACTTCATCCAGGTCTCCAACATGGGCAGCAGGGACCCAAGCACTTGGGCCATTTTCTGCTGCTTTTTCCAGGCCATTAGCAGGAAACTGGATAGGAGGTGGAGCAGCCAGGACTTGAGCAGACATAAGGGAGGCTGACATTGAAGGCAGAAGCTTTACCCACTCTGCCACAATGCTGGCCCAAGGGGTGATATTTCTAATTTGCTCATTCTCCTTCATGTATTATTCAGATTACACCCATAAAGAGAAACTTGTGTTCATTCAGTTGGTCATCCCAGGTACATTTTATAGAGAAAAATCAGGATAAATGATCTTATCTTTCCTTTTACTTACTAGTTTTTAATACAATATTTCTCTTCTGTTTAAAAGTTTAATTTGCATTTTATTAAATACATGCTGATAATTTACAAAATTGACATAGAAAGTATCTCCTAAGATTTTTAAGGAGAAAGAGCACTTTATTTCAACTTCTACTTCTGATTTTGTGTCACACAGTGGTAACCCTCATCTGCACTTTGCTGTTTGTTCTAAGATTTTTCTTCTAAATTTATGAATAAAGCTCTTATATGTTTATTTAAATTTCTCCCCATTTTATACTTTATCTATTCCTGTTGTGGAAAATATCTTTTGTTTGTTCTCTCTTCTTGTCCAATTTTGTCTTTTAAAAAAAGATTTATTTATTTATTTGAAAGGCAGAGTTACAGAGAAGCAGAAGCAGAGAGAGGTCTTCCGTCCTCTGGTTCACTCCCCATTGGCTGCAAATGGCTGGAGTTGGGCCTATCCCAAGCCAGGAGCCTGGAGCTTCTTCTGGATCTTCTGGGTCTCCCATGCGGGTGCAGGGGCCCAAGGACTTGGGCCATGTTCTACTGCTTTCCCAGGCCATAGCAGAGAGCTGGATAAGAAGTGGAGCAGCTGGGACTTGAACCAGCGTTCTCACATGGGATACCAGCACTGCAGGCAGAGGCCTTACCCACTATGCCACAGTGCCAGCCCCCAATTTTCTCTTCTTTGCCCTGAATGAGGCATGGCTGTAGAGGTTAGTCCTTGACCTTCCACTCTTTTCCTGTATTTCTGCTTCCCCACAGTGTCCTGGTGCTGTGAACTCCCACGTTAGCTCTTCTGGCTCCCCGAGTTCCAGCATGTGTCTCTGTCAGCTGGCCATTTCCACCTCACCTACTGCTGTCTCCAATCCCAACACGCCCCTGAGCAGGCTCATCATGAGTAGGGCAGACGGTTTACAGAATGTTGCATGCAAGAACTAGGCAGCCTCAGCGGAGCAACAGAGGTTACTGGAGATGGACAGTTCAGAGATACTTGAGGAGAGGTAGAGAGAGCTTGCCCAGAACAGAAGCTGTGTGTGTGTGTAGTGAGGAGAGGTAGGGATGGAGGCAAAGGAAGTTGGCATCCAATTGTGGAAGGTTAAACACCAGCCCAAAGAAATTGGGCTTTGTTTAATGAGTGATGGGGAGCTGTTATAAGAGCAGAGCAGAAGGAGAAGAGGGAAGGTGATAGAAGTTTGATCTAGTTGTAGGAGTAGAAAGCAAGGGAGGTGGGAAGACATCATATAAGAAAGATATAAGAAAGATTTGGCTCTTGGTAGTTGTGGTGGGAACGAAACAAAAGGGACAGGGACAGTGTGCCCACTGTGTGAACCAAACACTGCAAAGCATTCTCCATGCCTCGCGCCTTGCCTGGTGATTACATTGTTGAGTGTCTGCTATGGGTGCTCCAGCACATACAGCCCTGGAATGACAAAGCTCAGGCATTTGTGAGTTTTCTCTCCAGCTAGAAACTGCAAGGTCTGAGAGAGAGAGGGGGAGGGAGTATGTCAGTGTCATACTGTGCAGCTTGTATTCCCTCAGAGTGCTGAATGCAGAGTTTCTTCACAGTGTCCACTGACAACAGGTGGTTTCCTTGGCGTAAATAAGGAAGAAGGGGGTTCTGATTTGCTGGGAAAGACAGGAAGAGCTAAGATTTAGACAGGTTATTTTCAGAGGTGCCAGGAGCCACTTGGGCTTCAGCCCAGGCCTTTCTTCTCTTCAAGCTCGCTGGCCTCACCTGCTGCCATGTACTCCATTTCTTGGGATTCCTCTCGTGTAGGACGGAGAATCTCTTTACTGCATCTTATTTCCCTCCAAAAGCAAAACCAACCAAACAAGCCAAAGAAACCAACAAAACCAGCACATAGGCCTTGTCTTGCTTTATGGGTTATGTTACTGCAGAGAACATTCAGTGTGAGGACATTGGCCAGGTCAGTGAGTCTCATTGACCACGTTCAGTTCTTGCCTTCCTTGCAGAGATGCTAACCTGAAAATCATATCATCTCTCTCTCCTCCCTGAGTCTCTGGCATGTGCCTTTTGGGTAGTGGGTAGGGATAATCTCTCTCCCTCTCTCTCTCTCATCAATAGAATAAAATTAACCTGCAGGATTTTCCATCCTCTGAACCAAGCTGAGAGGAGCAAGGCAATTGTTCATAATTTGGGACCACACTTCTTGGCAAATCTAGTAAAAGCGGTGGGTGGCATCTCTCCTTGGAAAATGTGCAGTCCACATTTTCCCCCCTCTGGGGTTTTACAGATACCAAGTAAATAAAACACTCAGATTCAGAAGAGCAGCATAATTTGACAAGCGCCCTTTCCTTTTTCCCTGTGCCCACAGCTCCTGCCTGAAGAGTCACTAGATCTCTTTTTTCAAGAGTGTCACAAACAAGCCACACAGGGCTTCGAGCTCCACATGCCACGGGGGCGGTACTGGCGGCTTCGACTCTCTTCCGGTAATTCCTCAACCCAGCTTCTACTTCGAGGATTTCAAGGGATAGATAATAGTGTCCCCACCTCTCCAAATCCTGGCTCTATACCAATGGTTCCATCATCATCATGACCTCTGGCTCCCATCTCTTGAAAGCCTACTGCTTTAGTCCAAACACTCCATTTAGGAGTTCAGGGGCTCTCCATAGCCTCACATCCTGTCCTTTCTCTTCCCTCCAGAACTTCCCAGCGTTCCTAGTGAGTACGCTGGATTTGTGATCCGCACTGTACTGGAGCCTGTGTTGCAAGGACTGCAGGGATTGCCACCCCAAGCCCAGGCCCCTGTCCTTGGTCCCACACTGACAGCCATCCTGCGCGCCTGGCTTGACCACATCCTCACCCATGGGATCCGGTTCAGGTGGGGAGAAAGGGCAGAGTGACTGGGGGATGCATAGAATTGGGAAAAGCAAGGGGACAGGTGGTGGGCCAGAGCAGTTTGAAAGGACAGGTGGTCACATTGTACCTCGGCCTCCAGCCTGCAGGGGGCGCTGCAGCTCAGACAGGACTTTGGAGTGGTCAGGGAGTTGCTGGAAGAGGAGCAGTGGGGGCTGTCCCCAGAACTTCGCCAAAGTCTATTCACGCTGAGCATCTTCCAGCAGCTGGATGGAGCCCTGCTGTGTTTACTGCAGCAGCCCCCGCCCAAGACTCGAGTCCACAGGAGGTCCCCTTGTTGCTGTGAGTCTCTCCCCTCCCCCCGCTCCAGGTTTTCCTCCCTTCTCCCTCACTGCTTTGTGACCCACACCCCGGTCACCACTGATCGGGCTTCAGCCTTCCTCCTGTGCCTTGCAGGTGCTCGTAATGACGTCCAGACCACGGAACTACCCAGCAGCAGCCTCAACAGCCTGGAGAGCTTGGAGCCCCCTCTTCGGTCTGGAGCACTCCCAGCCCAGACACCTCAGCTGTTAAGCACACTGTGGGGAGGAGGACCTAGCCCTGAGGCTTACCTGGTGGGAAATCAGCAGGCCTGGCTTGCCCTGAGGCAACACCAGCACTCTCGTTGGCACCTGCCTTTTCTTTCCTGCCTGGGCATCAGTCCTGAATCCTAAGGAGCCTGAAGCCAGGAGCCAGAAAGTCAGAGAAACCCATCTCTGGCTGGAAAAGCCCAGACGTCTGGCATTGCACATTAAAGAAGCTTAAAATTGGGAGCTTGGAAGAAAGCATTCCTGAGAGCCACAGCCTACACAGAGCTTGGATTTATAAGCCAAGCAGGCAAGATAACTCCAGCATGTGGAATCTACAGTAAAGGGCAAAGGCACAGCCTAGAACAGGAAGGTCGGCATCTTGGGGGGGGAGGGGGTGTCAGGCCTAGTTCCCAGGCAGTGAAGTCCCCTCAGGACTAAAAGTGGCAGAGATGCAGGAAAAGCAAAAAGCAATGGAAAGCAGAGTCAGAAAGTTAAAAACAGTTAATTCATGGGGAACCAGACAGGTGAGCTAAGCATACACTTGGATCAGTCCCAAGGTCAATGGTAGCGGGTCCTCCCTTCCGCATAATTTTCAGTCATTGGGCTGTAGGACCTTCGCGTTTAAGCTTCGGTTACTCGGAGTTAGCCGAAAGGAGTTTACCTCCTGGTATATAGGTCACCTCTGCAGCGGTAATGTCTTCTTGGAAGGGGCCAGGATTACGGCAGGGTTAACCTAGATCTGGCATGGTAGGGTCCGCAAGGGGAAAGCCTTGCAGAGGGGCTTTACGCTATTTAAAGTTGTTTTCGCCGTGGTTCAGGGGACTATTCGTGATAGTGCGTGTTGACTGCTTACTTTGGGCCCCTGCACGCCCTATTCCGAAACCACTTCTTCCTGCCTTCTTCCTGCTCCGGCGGCGGAGCCCGGCCAGCGGCCGGGAATCTGTAACCCGCAGAGACCACGCGCGGCGGAAGCCCAGGAATTCACAGTTTCCCGCGCAGAAGGACGTTTCCGGCCGCGCGAGTCCTTCCGGGGCGGAGGTCACCATGGCGGCGGCCTTGGCTCGGCTCGGGCTCCGTGCGGTGAAGGAGGTCCGTGTTCAGTTCTGCCCCTTCGAACAGAACGTGGAGTCGACGAGGTATGGGGAGGAGAAATGGGGCCGGGAAGGGGCGCGCCTTCCTCCGCCAGGGCTGTAGCCTCTTCGGCCCGGCGCTCACGCTTTTTTCGCACCGTAGGACCTTCCTCCAGGCGGTGAGCAGCGAGAAGGTGCGCTCCACCAATCTCAACTGCTCGGTGGTTGTGGACGTGAGGCACGATGGCTCCGAGCCCTGCGTGGACGTGCTGTTCGGTGGGCTCCGGGAGGGAGACGGGCGGGAAGGGGTGGCAGGCTGCCCCGCGCGCCTCTTAGACCCTGCCGCTCAGCCCTGGGCTCATTTCGTCTGTTTGTTCCGCAGGAGACGGGCATCGCCTGATCATGCGCGGCGCCCACCTCACCGCGCAGGAGATGCTCACTGCCTTCGCCTCCCACATCCAGGCCAGGGGTGCGGCGGGGGTCGGCGGGGACAAGCCAGGCGCTGAGAGTGGGCGCTGACCGCGCAGGAGCGACCAAGCTGATTTTAGCCTGGCACTAGGACACTGCTCCAAGAAGAGCTTGACTTAACTATTCAAATCACTATCTGGAGCGTCAGGAAAAAAAAAAAAAAAAAACCAGACCCCCATGACTGCGGTGTTTCTGGAGCAAGACCAAAGCGGGAAAGGGTCTGATGGAACTTCTGCGTATTTCATTTTCTTCATCCAGTGCTTAATCCTTTTGAATTTGGCTTCTCCCTTCACGCACTCAAGGGACCTCTTACTGTTAGTCAACAAACCCGGTGCTGTTTGTTCGTCCTTGTATTTCTAGGTCAGTTGCATCTGAGCTGTCTCTCCTCTTGAGATTTTTTGTTTTATAACCATAAAGGTGTTTTAGCCTCATCATTTTTCTTCTGTCTTTATTCTTCCCGAGACAGCTCATCCCCTGCCATAATTTGAACTACTACTCTGTAGTAGTTACATCCTACAATTCCTTAAAGCTCCAGCCCCAATTTCCATGCTGCAGTTAAGTTACCTACCACAGATGTCTGCCAAATACCCAACGTTCTTTGTCTAAAATAGAATTGATAAGGGCAAGTGTTGTGATGCAGCAGGTTAAACCACTGAATGGGAGGCTCGTGTTCCATATCTGAGTGCCTGAGAGAGTCCCACCTCTGCTTTTTTTGTTTGTTTGTTTAAAGATATATTTATTTATTTGAAAGGCATAGTGAGAGAGAGAGAGAGAAAGGTCTTCCATCCACTGGTTCACTCCCCAAATGGTTGCAACGGCCAGAGCTGAGCTGATCCGAAGCCAGGAGCCAGGAGCTTCTTCCAGGTCTTCCACGTGGGTGCAGGGGCCCAAAGACTTGGGCCATCTTCTGCTTTCCCAGGATAGTAGAGAGCCTGATTGGAAGAGAAGTAGCTGGGACTCGAACCACTGCCCATGTGGGATGTTGGTACTGCAAGCAGTGGCTTTACTTGCTCTGCCACAGCACCGGCCCCCCTGCCTCTGCTTCTGAGCCAGCTTCCTGCTAATATACCTGGGAGGCAGCAGATGATGGCCCAGGTACTTGGGTCCCAGCAAAGTAGGAGTTCCTGACATTTACCCGGCCCAACCTTGGCTGCTGTTGGCATTTGGGAAGTGAAAAAGCAGATGGAAGATGTGTCTATCCCTCTCTTAGTTACTCTGTCTTTCAAATAAATAATAGAATTGATAATTTTACCTAAATACATACTTGCCTCTTGCCTCCTCTCCCTACTTAGCTGGTTTTTGTTTTTGTTTTTGGAGAAACAGAACTCCAATTTGTTAGTTCACTCCCCAAATAACTGTAAGAGCCTGGGTTAGGCCAGGCAGAAGTCAGGAGCCCAAAAATCAATCTACATCCTCTGTGGAGGTGGCAGGGACCCAACTGCTTTAGCCATTGCTGCCTCCAGGGTCCACATTAGCAAGAAGTTGGAATTTGGGGGAAGAGCTGGGACTCAAAATGAGGCACTCTGAAAGGGGCCATGGGGATCCTAACTGGCATCTTTGCTGTTAGACCGAATGCCTTTTTCCCCTTTGTTTTTTATTTTGTTTTATTTTTAAAGACTTATTTATTTGTAAGTCAGAGTTACACAGATGGAGAAGGAAAGGCAGAGAGAGAGGTCTTCCGGCTGCTGGTTCAATCCCCAGTTGGTTGCAGCAACTGGAGTTATGCCGATCTGGAGCCAGGAGCTTCTTCCAGGTGGGTGTAGGAGCCCAAGGACTTGCGTTACTTTCTACTGCTTTCTCAGACCATAGCAGAGAGCTAGATCGGAAGTGGAACAGCCAGGACTCGAACCAGCCCCCTCCCTTTTTCTAATTACTTTTTTTTTTTCCCCCCGAAAGATTCATAGAGAAGGAGAGGCAGAGAGAAGAGAGGTCTTCCGTCCACTGGTTCACTCCCCAGTTGGTTGCAATGGCCAGAGCTGCACTGATCTAAAGCCAGGAGCCTTAGCTTCCTCCAGGTCTCCCATGCAGATGCAGGGGCCCAAGGGCTTGGGCCATCTTCCACTGCTTTCCCAGGCCATAGCAGAGAGCTGGATGGGAAATGAAGCAGCCAGGACTCAAACCAGCACCATACGGGATGCCGGCACTGCAGGCAGCAGCTTTACCTGCTGCCCCACAGCACCAGCCCCTCTACTTAATTTTGCTGGTACTTAGTTTTCCCTTCCCACAGCACATGATTGGTTATATCTCCCAGTATTACCTGTTTCAAAAAAACAATGCCTAAGGTGTTTTTCATATAGGGTAAACACACATTAGTGTAGATCATAAGATCAATTTAGGGAAATCGGCCTTTAAAAGTTAAATAGGGGCTGATGCCATGACATAGTAGGTTAAGCCACTTATCTGCAGTGCCAGCATCCCACATGAGCACCAGTTTGAGTCCTGACTGTTCCATTTCCAATCCAACTGCTAATATGCCTGGAGAGGCAGCAGAAGATGGCCCAAGTACTTGAGCCCCTTGCACCTGTGTGGAAGACCTGGAAGAAGCTCCTGGCTTCAGATCCACCCAGCTCTGGCTGTTGTGGCCATTTGGTGATGGAGTGGATGGAAGATCTCTGTCTCTACTTCTCTCTCTAACTCTACCTTTCAGATTTAAAAAAAAAAAAAAAAAATTATTTCCGGGACATGGTCTGCTTAAAAAAAAAAAATAGAATAAAAGTATCAGAGTGTATGGCATATGGGATGGAAAATAGTTTTGGAAACTCACTTTAAGCATATAATCACGCATATGTTAACTTTTTTTTTTGTTTTTTTTTTGACAGGCAGAGTGGACAGTGAGAGAGAGAGACAGAAAGATCTTCCTTTGCCGTTGGTTCACCCTCCAGTGGCCGCCACGGCCGGTGTGCTGCAGCAGGCGCACTGCGCTGATCCGATGGCAGGAGCCAGGTGCTTATCCTGGTCTCCCATGGGGTGCAGGGCCCAAGTACTTGGGCCATCCTCCACTGCACTCCCTGGCCACAGCAGAGAGCTGGCCTGGAAGAGGGGCAACCAGGACAGAATCCGGTGCCTCGACCGGGACTAGAACCCGGTGTGCCGGCGCCGCAAGGCGGAGGATTAGCCTAGTGAGCCGCGGCGCCAGCCTGCATATGTTAACTTATGTGAGTTAACTCATGTGAGTGTGTGTGATATGTTTTGTGTTTTATTTGAAAGGCAGTGACAAAGACCCTCCATCTGCTGGTTCACTACTTAAATGCCTACAAGAGCCAGGACTGGGCTAGGCTGAGAGCCAGGAGCTCACAACTTTTAAGTAGTTTTTTTTTTTTTTTTTTAAGATTTTATTTATTTTTATTTGAGAGGCAGAGTTACAGACAGAAAGATCTTCCTGCTGGTTCATTCCCTAAATTGTTGCAATGTCCGAGCTGGGCCAATCTGAAGCCAAGAGCTTCTTCTGGGTCTCCCATGTGGAGTACTTGGGCCATCTACTGCTTTCCCAGGCCATAAGCAGAGCTGGATTGGTAGAGGAGCAGCCAGGACACAAACTGGCACCCATATGGAACGTCGGTGCTTCGGTCAGAGGCTTAACATACTACACGAGCCCTGGCCCCAGGAGCTCACAACTTAATCCAAGTCTCCCTTTTAGGTGGCAGGGAACCAAGAACTTGAGCCATCACCTGCTGCTTGTCAGGGTGTAGACTAACAGGAAGCTGAACTCAGAGTGGAGCCAGGACTCAAACCTGGGCATTCCAGTATGGGATTTGGGAGTCCCAAGCATCTTAACTACTGTGCCAGATGCCCTTCATGTAGCTGGTTGCAGTATAGAACTCTTTCTTACTGTTGGTGTTGGGGAAAAATGATCAAAAGCCATTGGTTCAGAGAAGTTACCAATGCTCAGATAGGCAATAAAGATCTCTAGATACACCTCTTCCCTGACTATAAGAGTACTTTGTTCAAAGGACTTCTTTTCTCCCTCCCTCCCTCTTTAAAAAAAAAAAAAAAAGGACACTACCAGAAGGCAATTTAGTGTAGTGGTAAAGAGCCAGACGGTTTGGGGTCAAAAGCCCGCCTCTCCCCTTAAGTAGCCATGCTACTGGATAAATTAGATAAATTGCTTAATCTCCCAGGGCCAGTTTCCTTACTGGTGAACTGAATACTACTGCCTACCTCATTAGGGCTGTTAAGAGGATTAAGCGAGGTTGTATCTGTAAAGTGCCTGCAGCATTGCTGGGTGCACAGTTGCTGCCTTATCATCTGCTACCTATTATTTTTTAAGGATTTATTTTATATGAAAATTCCAGAGAGAGGAACAGAGATCTTTCATCCACTGGTTCACTCCCCACTGGGCTGGGCCACAGCCAGAAGTTAGGACCTTCTTCCAGGTATCCCACATTGTTGGAGGGGTCCCAAACACTTGGGCCATCTTCCACTGCTTTTCCCAGGCCGTTAGCAGGGAGCCAGATTGGAAGTGCAGCAGCCAGAACTTGAACCGGCACCGGTGTGGAATACTGGTATTGTGGGCATGGCTTTACCTGCTGTGCCACAATGCTGGCCCCAAGGCCTTATAAAGTTGAAAGAATGCAACTTGGATTTGAGTTCCCCAGCTCCTTGATTAACAGGATTAACTTGGGCCAGTCTCAGTTGCTCTTCTCTCTTGTGCAAAAAAGGGTGGGTCAGCGTGGATTGAATGCTGGTGCTATGCTTCTAGATTGTGAACTTGAAGTTGGAGCTGTTTTCTTTGTCCCCAACACCTTGCATTGTGTGAGAGATGATGCCATAAAACTTGAATTTACATATTTTAAGATTTACTTATTTATTTGAAAGGCAGCATTAGAGAGAGAGAAGTCTTTCCACTGGTTCATTCCCCAAATGGCCACAATGGCTGGAGCTGGGCCAATCCAAAGCCAGGAACCAGGAGCTTCTTCTGGGTCTCCTATGTGGGTGCAGGGGCCCAAGGACTTGGGCCATCTTCTAGGCCATAAACAGAGGATTGGATTGGAAGTGGAGCAGCCGGGACTCAACTGGTGCCCATGTAGGGTGCCAGCACTGCCAGTAGTGGCTTTATCCACTACAGCACAGCGTATATTTAGCACCTGTCCTCTACCTACAACTGTCAGTACTGGAATACAAAGAATAATGAAAGTCAGTATGTAATAAGTGCTGTGACACTTTTTTTTTCTCCAAAAAAGGCAAGAATAATCATTATTCCTTGGAAACACATTTGTAAAAATATTTATCAGCAAGATGAAAAGATGCAGAACACATTTATTTGTATGCAGCACATACACTGAAGAGGGAAACATCTGCCCGAGCAGAATACACCAGTAAACAAACACCTTGGGGAGGGATTATGGGTGACTGACTGCATTGTGTGAAGTATGAAGCTGGTTCTCCTAAACAGACTTTTGTGGTAACTGAAAAGATCTGATTTTAGCAATAAAATAGCTCAAATGATGTCATTACATCTTTTAAAGGACTTCACACAGGCCAAATTGCAATTACATCTACAAAAGTGGCCCAAGAATAAATTGATTTCACAAAATCTTAATGGAAAAATATTTCAGGCCGGCGCCGCGGCTCACTAGGCTAATCCTCCGCCTTGCGGCACCGGCACACCGGGTTCTAGTCCCGGTCGGGGCACCGGATTCTGTCCCGGTTGCCCCTCTTCCAGGCCAGCTCTCTGCTGTGGCCAGGGAGTGCAGTGGAGGATGGCCCAAGTCCTTGGGCCCTGCACCCGCATGGGAGACCAGAAGTACCTGGCTCCTGCCATCAGATCAGCATGGTGCGCCGGCCGCAGCAGCCATTGGAGGGTGAACCAACGGCAAAAGGAAGACCTTTCTCTCTCTCTCTCTCTCACTATCCACTCTGCCTGTCAAAAAATAAAAATAAAATAAAATAAAAATATTTCAGACCTGCCTCTTGAAAGGAAAGATGCTTAACTCCTGATTTGAAATGAGAAAAATAAATATATTTTGGTACAAATTTTACCCTAAAAGACAACACTTTGTTTTCTGGTTCTACAAAAAGACTGGGGCAATTCCTATTCTACACTATTCTACAACCTGCTTTGGCACGATTTCAAATAAAACCTTATTTGCTTTCATTTGAGCCATAAATGCATCTTGAATGCATGTAGCTTTTTAAAGGAATGACGTCTAGGGTAAAATAACAATCCCCCATTCTGATGGTATGTATTCTGAAATCATGCGAGTTAGCAGCACCGATCATTAAGACATTAAAAATTATTCTTGCACTTCAGCAGCAAAGTCTATCACGACAAATGCTACGCAGTTCATGATTAGTACAATCGCTAACGTTCAAGGTGGCTAAACTGAATAGTAGCAAAAAACAAAACAGGTCTGACCATTGAATTTGGCTAGAAGGTGATTGTTAAATGAGAAAAAACTACCAGTGGAGAATGGGCCTAAAGTCATAGTGAAATACAAGTGGGTGGGTTAAATGAGCTTTTATACAATGAATTTCGATGGGCTGTGTTTTAATACCTAGAGAGGCATAAGGTTTTTTATTTTTAAACAATGGCATGGACTTCTTTATGAAAATGCTTTTTACATTGGGCTGTTGCTGAGAAATAAGTAACTAAGTTGTAATGAGGAGCTATCACCAGATGTAATCGTGAGTCTTCCAGCTGCAAACCTGAGGCGCAGATGCTACTTCCTTTCAGTACCCGGCTCCGGTCTGGACATAAACCATCTTTTCCCCCAAGTTCTTTCGCTTCCTGGGATGTAAGGGGGAAACTGCCTTCTGTAAGCACGTGTGCCACCCTTATGGTCCTTCCAGGGTTCATCCAGATAAGGAATTGTAGGCCGAGTGGCGATAAGACTTGTTTGAAGTCACAGGGCCACCTGCAGACAGCTGGAAACAAACCTCAGGCTCCCCGGTGGGGCACCGCAGAGCGCGGATTCAGACATGGCCGGACCCAGTAACTCCGATTTACTTTCCAGGCCATACGTTTTCATCTGGCGCGGGGCAGTTAAATGTAAACTACTTAGGACAGTGTCTAAATATGCAGTCGTTAAAACAAGCAGTTCGATGCGAGGTAGGTTTTCCCTACTGCTCTGCGAACTCCGGCGACCCGTTCTGGTGACGAAGCTCTCGCCACGCCGAGAGCGCGGCTCCGAGATCCCAGACTCAGCCTGACGTGGCGGGGCGGGACTTCCGGCGGAAGGCGGACATAGAGCTGGGGGCGCGGGCTGGCAGGTGCGGCTGGAGGGACTGTGGTCCCAGCGGCGCGGGGCACGAGCTGGAGCGGGGAGGCAAGGCCTGGGCCCCACTGACGCCTCTTCGAGCTCCTGCGACGCCGGCCTCTGTGGTAGGATGGCTCGGGGCGAGCGGCGGCGGCGCGCAGCGCAGGCGGAGGGAACGCGTACAGTCGAGAGGGCGGCTCGGGGCGGCCCCGCGAGACGGGGCGGCGGGTCCCAAGGCGCTCCAGGGCGAGCAGCTCTGGCCATCGTGGTCCTGTTTCTGGCTCTGGGACTTTCGGGGCGCTGGATGCTGACGTGGTACCGTGCGCGACGGGCGGTCACGCTGCACTCCGCGCCCCCAGCGCTGCCCCCTGACTCCTCCAGTCCCGCTGTAGCCCCGGATCTCTTCTGGGGCACTTACCGCCCTCACGTCTACTTCGGCATGAAGACTCGCAGCCCGCAACCCCTCCTCACCGGTAACCGGGCCCCGGGGCGGGCGGGCAGGCCGGCGGACTTTTACTGTGGGCGCCCCAGCTTCATGCCAGGGCAAGGCCGGGGAGGAATGGATCAGGAGAGGTTATGAAGAGGGATGCCCCTGAAGTTCTCGGACACCCAGAGGGACAGGCCCCTGCCCTCTCCTTGACTTACATGGCCATTCTACCCCTAGGACTGATGTGGGCGCAGCAGGGCGCCACCCCGGGGACCCCTAAGCTCAGGCACACGTGTGAGCAGGGGGACGGCGTGGGTCCCTTTGGCTGGGAGTTCCATGACGGCCTCTCCTTCGGGCGGCAACACATCCAGGATGGGGCCTTAAGGCTCACCACTGAGTTCGTCAAGAGGCCTGGGGGTCAGCACGGAGGGGACTGGAGCTGGAGAGTGACTGTAGAGCCTCAGGTCAGGGCCCCAGGGCACCCTTCCCTCGTCCAGACTCCTACCTTCCCCTCCTACCAGCAAATGCAGTACGAAGTGGGGGCTGACAGCAGGGGCTCTGAGTCTGGCTTCCTGCTTTGACTCCCCTTACACACCTGCCTGCACGAACATCTCTAAGCCTTGGTTTTCTCATTTCTAAAGTGGACATAAAAGCAGCATCTAACGCACAGGGTGATAAGCATGAAACGAAATGATCTGTGCAGAGTTCTTAGGACATCGCACAAAAGGACTCTCATTATTCGCCAGAGCCCCATGCAAGGTTCTTTATGCCATGTTACTGGGTGTACTGCTTACCCTCAGTACTGCCAGATGTTTACCATTTATGTTACTCCTGCCTGGCATCCCTTTCCCTCACTAAGGCTGATTCTTGAGAAAGAATGGCAGTCTAATGCCAGGGTTTTGTTTTTGTCCAGGCCTCAGGTACCTCTGCCCTCCCTTTGGTCTCCCTGTTCTTCTATGTGGTGACAGATGGCAAGGAAGTCCTACTACCAGAGGTCGGGGCCAAGGGGCAGTTGAAATTCATCAGTGGGCATACCAGTGAACTTGGTGACTTCCGTCTTACACTTATGCCACCAACCAGCCCAGGGGATACTGCCCCCAAGTATGGCAGGTAACAAGGGGAAGAGAGTGTGGGGTGGGCGGGGGGTGGTGTGGATGCTGACACAGCCTGACTTCCGTCTCCCCCATCCGACCTTCTTCCCACCAGTTACGTTTACTCTCACCGGCCTCCCGTGCTCTGCATTGCTCAGGCTCCATCCTTCTGATCCCCTCGTTTTTTCCCTGTATGTCCCTGCCACCTCCTTCTGAATAATATTTCTTGTTCATCTTCCCTTCAAGCTACAATGTCTTCTGGTCCTCCAACCCAGGACTGGCCTTGCTGACAGAAATGGTGAAGAGTCGCCTAAATAGCTGGTTTCAGCATCGGCCCCCAGGGGCTCCTCCTGAACGCTACCTTGGCTTGCCAGCATCTCTGAAATGGGAGGATAGCAGCCCAAGTGGGCGAGGGCAAGGACAAGGCCAGTTCTTGATACAGCAGGTGACACTGAAAGTCCCCTTCTCTTTGGAGTTGGTGTTTGAGTCAGGTAGTGCCCAGGCAGCAGGAAACCAAGCCCTGGAGAGACTGGCAGGCAGCTCGCTGACCCAGGCCCTGGAGAGCCATGCCGCCGCGTTCAGAATGCGCTTTGAGAAGACCTTCCAGCTAGGGAAGAAGGGCCTGAGCCCTGGCGAGCAGGCTTTAGGTCACGCTGCCCTCAGCGGCCTCCTGGGTGGAGTTGGCTACTTCTACGGACAGGGGCTGGTGCTGCCGGACATGGGGCTGGAAGGGTCTGAGCACAAGCTCGACCCAGCCCTCTTTCCACCTGTCCCCCTTTTCTCAGCAGTGCCTTCGCGGTCATTCTTCCCACGAGGCTTCCTTTGGGATGAGGGCTTTCACCAGCTGGTGGTGCAGCGGTGGGATCCCCGCCTCACTCGGGAGGCCCTAGGCCACTGGTTGGGGCTGCTCAATGCCGATGGCTGGATTGGGCGGGAACAAATACTTGGGGATGAGGCCCGAGCCCGGGTGCCCCCAGAATTCCTGGTGCAGCGGGCAGCCCACGCCAACCCCCCAACCCTGCTTTTGCCTATAGCCCACATGCTCTCAGGTGGCGACCCTGCCGACTTGGCTTTCCTCCAGAGAGCCTTTCCCCGCCTGTATGCCTGGTTCTCATGGCTCCATCAGAGCCAGGCAGGGCCAGTGCCACTCTCCTACCGCTGGCGGGGCCGGGACTCAGCCTTGCCAACCCTGTTGAACCCCAAGACGCTGCCCTCGGGGCTGGATGACTACCCCAGGGCTTCACACCCTTCCGCAATGGAGCGGCACCTGGACCTGCGGTGCTGGGTGGCACTGGGTGCCCGTGTGCTGACCCAGCTGGCAGAGCAGCTAGGGGAGATGGAGGCGGCTGCAGAGCTGGGCTCACTGGCCGCGTCACTGGAGGCAGAAGAGAGTCTGAATGAGCTACACTGGGCCTCTGAGCTGGGGGTCTTTGCAGACTTTGGGAACCACACAAAAGCAGTACAGCTGAAGCCTAGGCCCCCTCAGGGGCTGGTTCGGGTGGTGGGCCGGCCCCACCCTCGCTTGCAGTATGTGGATGCCCTGGGCTATGTCACTCTTTTCCCCTTGCTGCTGCGACTGCTGGACCCCAAATCATCCCACCTTGGGCCCCTGCTGGACGTTCTGGCCGACAGCCGCCATCTCTGGAGTCCCTATGGCCTGCGCTCCCTCGCAGCCTCCAGCTCCTTTTATGGGCAGCGCAATTCCGAGCACGATCCTCCCTACTGGCGGGGTGCTGTGTGGCTCAATATCAACTACCTGGCCTTAGGAGCTCTCCACCACTACGGGCATCTGGAGGGTCCTCACCAGGCCAGGGCTGCCAAACTGCACAGTGAGCTCCGTGCCAATGTGGTGGGCAATGTGTGGCGGCAGTACCAGGCTACAGGTTTCCTCTGGGAGCAGTACAGTGACCGGGATGGGCGGGGCATGGGCTGCCGCCCTTTCCAGGGCTGGACCAGCCTTGTCTTACTAGCCATGGCTGAAGACTACTGACGGGCTAGGGGATGTGAGGAGAGCCAGACCCCTTGTGCCACTCCTGTGTCCACAGGGACCTGTTCTCTGACTTCTGATCCCAAGTCCCCTAGACACCAGTATTCAAACTTCTCTCAGTTCATCTCAGGTGTCTGCTGCCATCCATCCCACACCCCTGGGATGAATGTGAACTCAGAGTCTATTTTTCTAAATAAATTGGAAAAAACATGCCAAACTCTTGCTTTTTGCCAGCACTGCCTCACCAAGTGGTGTTAGCTCAGTCCAAACCTCAGGACCTGCTGTCCTTAGGAAGGTGAGATCAATAACCGTTAGCTATCCTCTTCCTATCCCCTTCCAGTCCAGTAAGGCCAAGTGCAATGCAGTAAGTTCAGCTCTAGTCCACCCAAATCCACAAGCAGCTGGTTCACATCTCTTTAATGAGATCAAAGGCTCCTGTGTATGTTTTGGGGAAGAGGGGGTGGAGCTAGCACAGTCCCCCAACACTGCCCCTCTCAGGGCTCCAGCTCTTTGAGGCAGATTCTAAGAAGGCAGGTAGGGGCCAAGGAGAACTTAAAAGAGTTGGGACCAGGACTGTTTTCTGGTGGGCAAGTAACCACATACCCTCCCAAAACTGTTCACGGGATGTCCCCTTCACTGGACGCCAGCCCCATGGGAGAGACCTGGGGTATGCTATCTGGGGGTAGTGCACAAGGGGAGTGGTCCTCCAGATCTGATGGGGTACCACTAGCCCTCCCCTCCTTGAGTGGCTCGCCCTCGCTGGAGTCAGGACAAGGGCAGAGCTCTATCCCGGAGTCCCCAGTCAGGCGACGATAGCGGCAGGAGGGGGGCGTATGGGCCGGGCTCACGCCTGCCCCAGGCTCACCCTCCTGAAGAGGGGGGGCACTCTGGTGGGAGGAAACACCTTCCACGTTTGTCCTCTCGCAGTGGGCAGGGCAGCTGGATGCAGAGGAGCGGCAGGTGCATTCTCCGGAAGCAGTCAAGGGGCGGCCTGGGACCACAGTATAAGGAGGTGGCGGTGTGCCCGGACGGTGAACCACATCTTCATAGGCTGGGGGTTTGAAGGCGCTGAGGAGGCCTGCAGGGGAGAGAACAGTGTGGTTTGTGGAAGGTAACTAGGGATGAGGAAGTGTCTCATACCAGGGACAAAGGGAATGTGGGGACAATTCGGGATCCTGGTTAGAGGCCCCTAGTAATGGGCCCAGAGCTTCAAGTCACTCACGAAGGTCAAGCAGTGAACCCGAAGGGACTGGCCCAGCGCCGTGGCACGCCCCGTGGTAGGCCAACAAGTTGATCTCACGCTGCCGCTGCTGCTGTTGCAGCCGAAGTTTAGCTCGTCGGTGGCGGAAGGCGCAACAGCAGCTAAAGAGGATGAGGACAGTCCAGAGTAGCCAGAACCCTGCAAGACGCAAGGAGGGAGTGACTCAGATGCCTTCCATGCAGAGAAGCGTCCCTGAAGGCTGGTATTCTGCGGCCTAAGGGAGTGTGGGCAGGAGGACCTGACGTAGCCCTTTCGGAGACTCACACCAGAGCTCATAGTAGTAGGTGCAGCAGCCAGTCTCCCCGCAGCAGTGGCCACTCTCACAGAGGTAGGGCTGGTTGTTCACTCCTGGGCACAGCTCTCGAAGCTGGGGGTAAGGAGGTTCTTAGAACGACAGGCGATTCCAGCCCAAGGCACGGTCCGCCCCCACCTCTTGCATGCACATACACAATCCCACCCTGTGAACCAAGTTCAGCTGGGAGAGGTGGGGGATGCTGAGAGGAGTTATTCAAATATCTGAAGGGGTGGCAGTGTGGAAGAGGGTTTGGAATAGCAAGAATCAGTCTAGAGAGCGAGACAGTGTGGAGGTACAAAGAGGGCAATCTCAGCTCTGCAGTGTGAGGCCTCTCACACTTAAGCCTGCCCTCCCACCCCCAGTGGAGGAAGCCACTCTCAAAGTCAGACAATGGCTAGGGAGGTAAGGCCTTCTGCAAAGCCAAAAACACTTTCATCATCCCCCATGATGCTCTCTCCCCTACCCCCCAAGCTGGATCTTTCCTCCCCTGGGTCTCAGGCTCCCTAGGGAAGAGGAGGGGCAGTGTGAGACCCAGAGCAGTGCTCCCAACCAGATGGGAATGCTGTGGATGATAAAGGATGGCATCCAGGGCGCGAGTCTGGGTTCCAGCTCTTCTCCAAATTGCTCCCTCAAGAGAAGACGCTGCCGGACTCTGTTGTGACAATAGGCACATAGAAAAACATCACAAATAACTGTTGCAAGACAGAGGGAGCCTCCCTGGGGCCTCACTATGCCTCTGGTCACTGGAGAGCCAGCCACTGCAAGCTTCCACTGCAGCCATGGGATGGGGTCTATGAGGCTGCAGGCAAAGTCAACTGCATCTGTTACAAAGTTTAGACAAAGAGTGCAAGGGATACGTTTAGGAACTTCACAGTACCTTTGGCCCCGTGAGTTCCTCCCCCACCCCCAAAAGGAAGGGACAAGGTAAGGGGAAAGAGAAATAAATGGCTGTCGTGGTAGGCTTTTGGAGCTGTTGGGATACCTGCTGTTGCGGCGCCCGAAGTGCCCCCCAGGCCTCCTCGCTGCCGTTCCCGCTGCTGGCCCGAGCCATGCCTCCACCTACAGCCCCCTGAAGACCACAGCCTCCTCTACCGCCAGCCGCCCCGCCCCTGCCACCTCTGCCGCCACCTCCATCGTCCCTGCCCGGCCCATCTTCGCTGCCGCCACCATCACTCCCCGGCCGGAGGTTCCATCCGGAGAGGGCTCCGCCAACTAGCATCCAGGTTGCTCCGTCCTACCAATCAGCATCTCCCTTCGATGGACGGACCAATAGGAAGAGACCAGGGGTTTCTCCCTGTAACCAATCTGCAACAGCACCTCTGCCGCTCTCCCAGACAACAAGAGCTTGTACAGACAAAGAGAGGGGCAAGGTTCGACCCACAGCCTTGACTGACAGCGACAGTGGCCAATATAGACAACAGAACGGGCTCTGACTTATTAACCAATGAATGCTCGTCCAGAAAAGCAAAGTTTCCACTGATTGGTCTGAGCCATATTTTCAGGGTGACACCAAATGCCGGACCATGCCAGGTAATCCGGCTAGTGCCGGCTGGAAGGGGCGGGGTCCCATAAGTGCCGGAGTCTGGGGGCAGACTGCGGGTCTGCTGGTTTCCAAGTTCCGGGCGTCTACGCAGTCTCCGGTGGGGGCCAGATGTGTGAACGGGAGAGTGGTCTGCTCAGATCCCACTCCCCCCAATTCTGTACAAGCTGAGGCGCTGGATGAAATTTAATAGGGTGGGGAAGACACTGCAAAGAGGGCGCGGGAGAGGGTGCAGAGTCCGGGTTAGGTGAGTCTCAAGTAGCCAAAAGGGGGGATCCGGGGCCCTCGGGCCCCCCCAGCCGCATCTGCAGGTTGATGCGGTAGCACTGAAGGCTGCAGAGTGCTTGGCCCGTGCGGGAGCAGGCGTAGCGGCGTGGGTGCGGGCAACCGGGAACGGAGCAGCGTGGAGGAGGGCCCGAGGGGGCTGGCCGCTGGGACAGTGCTGCGGGAGCGGGGACGCCAGCGGGGAAGGACAGGGTGGACCCCTGAGCTCCGCTGCTGTAGCGCACCATGGGGGCAGGGGCTGCGGCGCGCCCGCCCCTCCGCTCGCCCCTCGCGGCCCCACGGCCGCCCCGGCCGCTGGGCGCCGCGGTCTTGGTGAGGCGCTCGATGGTCTGATTCTTGTGCTCCTCAGCCCGCCGCGCCGCCTGCAGCCGCCGCTTCCGCGCCCGCTCCTCGCGCTTCAGCAGCATCTCCTCGGTGAGGGCGGGGGCCGGGCAGCCCCCCGCCACCGGCAGCGGCAACGTCGGGGAGGGCTGGCTCCGAGCCTTCTGGAGCAGCGCTCGCTGGGGAGACAGCAAAGGGAGGACTGTCTGAAAATGCAGGCGGCCGGGGCAGGCAGGGTCTCGCAGAGCGCAGGGCTTGGGAGAAGGGGTATGCGTGCGCACCCGCTGCAGGGCCCCTTAGTACTGCCTCCTCCCAGCTCTCCAGACATTCACCGTCAGGCCCTTGCTTCCCACAGGGGAAGCTATCGGTAACGCAACCTGCCTGTCCTGCACCACCTGCTCTAGGGGTTCGTCGTTGTTTAATCTCGACAGACAGCATCAATGGGATCACCGCCAAAATTCAGGGTTACTCTTCATTCCTTTTTTTCCCATCTTCCTCCCAACAAGTATCTGCTTCCTAAAGACAGCCGCCATTCCGCGGGTTTTCTCCATCCCCAGCACTTTCATCTTGGTTCAAGCCACTATCTTTTCTAGCTGACTGCTTCAACAGCCCCCAAGCTGGCCTCCCTGTGTCTAGCCCTCATCCCCACTAAGACTTGCTGTCCAGGCTAAGGGCAAAGTCATCTACCAAATGTAAATCAAATATGTCACTTCTCTGCCGACAGCCCTTCAGTGACAGCCACCCTTTCTCCTTCACCCCACATGGCATGCTCTAGTCCTTTATGCCTGCCAGCCCATCTCAAAGCTCCTCTGGGACTGGAAAGGTCATGTCTCCAAAAAGCTCTCTCATCACCCTATTTTTTGGTTCTTGTAAACCACACATCTTTAAAAAAAAAAACTTTTTTTTTAAAGATTATTATTTAAAAGGCAGAGTTAGAGAGATGGAGAAACAGAGAGAGAGGTCTTCCATCCACTGGTTCACTCCCCCAATGACCGCAACAGTCAGGGCCAAACCTAGGAGCCCGAAGCTTTTTCCTGGTCTCCTACATGGGTGCAGGGATCCAAGCACTTGGGTCATCCTCCACTGCCTTCTCAGGCACATTAGCAGGGAGCTGGATTGGAAACAGAGCAGCCAGGTCTTCAACTGGCACCCATTTGGATGCCAGCATCACAGACAGAAGCTTACCCTGTTATGCCACAGCACTGGTCCCAGCCACACAGCTTTTAAAATCATTGATTTAATTGTTTTCCCCACCACCACCACCAAACATTCACACTAGAATACCAGCTCCCTGAGAATAGAAACCAAGGTCTCCGTTTCAGCATTGTGGTGTAGGTGGTAACTCTTTCAAAATAAGAAAGAAAGAGAGAAAGAGAAAGAAAGAAGGAAGGAAGGAAAGAAAGAAAGAGAGGAGAGAGAGAGGAAGGAAGGAAGGGAAAAAAAGAAAGGAGAAAGAAAGAAAGAAAGAAAGAAAGAAAGAAAGAAAGAAAGAAAGAAAGAAAGAAAGAAAGAGGCAAGTGAAGCCAGGCAAAGCCACCAGTTCCGAGTCCCAGCTGTTCCACTTCCGATCCAGCTCTCTGCTATGGCCTGGGAAAGTAGCAGAAGATGGCCCAAGTCCTTGGGCCCCTGCACCCATATTGGAGACCTGGAAGCAGCTCCAGCCTCCTGGCTTCAGATCAGCCCAGCTCTGGCTATTGTAGCCATTTGGGGAGTGAACCAGAGGATGGAAGACCTCTCTCTCTCTCTGGCTCTCTGTAACTCTGCCTTTCAAATAAACAAATAATCTCTTAAAAAAAAAAAAAAAAGTCAAGGGGCTGGCATTGTGGCTGGTTTGATTCCTGGCTGCTCCTCCACTTTTGATCCAGCTCCCTGCTAATGTGCCTGGGAAAGCAGTGGAGGATGGCCCTGATGCTTGGGCCCCTGCACCCATGTGGGAGACCCAGATTAAGCTCCTAGTTCCTGGCTTCAGCCTGGCCCAGTCCTGGCCATTGCAGCCATTTGGGGAGTGAACTAGTGGATGGAAGAACTCTCCCTCTCTCTAATTCTGCCTTTCAAATAAATAAATCTTAAAAAAAAAAAAAAAAGAAACCAATGTCTCCACCATAGATATCCCCACTCACTCCCTTGAAAAGTTCTGGGGACATGAAAAGTTCTCAAAACATTCAAGGGCTCCTCAAAAAGTTCATGGAAAATGCATATTATGAAAAAACTGTGGACAGATTAAAAAAAAAAACTCTTTGCACTAAATAAACTTACCTTTTAGTTCCATTTACCATGCACTTGTGTTTGGTGAGCAAATGAAACATAAAGCGAGTTACCTGTCGAGCGGTGAGCAGTCGCTCATTGATTTCTTTCTTGAGGTCTCCATTGTCATCCAGCTCCCCCTTCTCCAGGGCATCCAGCCACCTCTGCTCCTCCTCTTCCTCCTGCCCTCCTAATCCCCCGGACAGGTCCCGAAGCGGGGAGGGAGACAGATTACTGTCTTCATCTGGAGAGGAGAGTTGGAGAACAGGAAGTAGAATTCATCAGATGGGGCACTTCTCACCCACTTCAGAGCCAACCCTGCTCCCTTAGCCAGGTGTAAGGAGAAAAAGTCCATTTCCCCAGCTCCAGGCCCTTCTCACCCAGCCAGGCACGGTACTGCTCCAGGGGCACTCCTTCCATGGGCTCCTCTTCATTATCCACGACCATAAGGGGAGAGGGCGAGCGTGGGCCCTCGGGGATCACGGTGAAGGTGGGAACACTGCAGAGAAGCAACGCTAGTCTGTAAACGGAGCGTCTCTTCCTCTGGCCCGGCGCTACATCAGCAGTTCCTGCCCTCCCGGGTTCTTGCTGCCTTAACGTGGGCCATTCTCGGTCCTCGAGAAAACCCCAGCCAGCTTCTAACTTCTTTGGCTGCTCTTCGAGTTCCCCCGGTAAAACCTCGACCCCCTTGATCTCACCTCTTGGTGCCCAGGATTTGCCCGCCCAGCTTGATTTTGAGTTTGAGCTGGGGCTTGGCAGGTGACGGCTGAGTGGGTCCAGCCTCCTCCTCCTGGTGGTGTTTCTTCTTATGTTTCTTTTTGTGCTTCTTGTGCTTTTTCTTGTGCACGCTGTGGCCATGAGCTCCGGCCAGGCTCAACTCCAGGGCTTCCCCTGCGGAAGGAGGGCCGGTCAGCGGGGTTCGGCCGGGGCGTGGAAGGGAAGCCCTAACTTAATACTCCCGCGGGCCTCCCTGTTACCATAACAACGGCACCGCCAGCTCCTCCCCACCCGTACTGAGGAAGCTCCCGGGGAGAAAAGGACTGTTTTCTGAGAAGGCCCAGATGGCTTGATCGACCCGTGCTTACCCGGCTCGGGGACCTCCATGGCCCCAGAAGTGCTTCCGCGCCGCCACAGCTTACTCATGGGGTCCTGCAAGGCAAGGGGACTGGAAATGGTCGGGACATAAGCAGACATACCTTTTCCGCCCCGCGGAAGAACTGGTTCCAGCAAAATAACCGGCTACTTCCGGTGGCAGCCATGCTTGTGCGGGGCACGCCTTTGGCCAAAACGCTCCCTGAGAAACAGTGGCAGTTAATGACGAACGTTCCGGGCCCTTCCCAAAGGTCGTAGTTTCCCCTGGCTGTGCCTCCCAGAACCAGCGCGCGCGAGTCGCTTGTTACGGTCGAGCTTGGCCACCGTTATACTTGGGACCAAGTCCAAGACTTTGAGATTGAGAGGATACGAGGGTGGGTATGAGCAGCCCCTCCGCCCCAGAGGATCTCTCAGTTCAGTGGAAAAGTACATCAGAAAGGATAGCACCAGCAAAATGACAGCAGTGTCCAGCGGCGGCAAGTGCACTATGAGCAAGGCAATTGATAGTTATTGAAACCTAAATTCTCATCAGTAGGGAAATGGATAAATGAGTGTGCTGGAAGAGTTGAGTGATGAAATGATAAGATCAACACGGAATGTGGTTTCCTCGTGAGCGCTGGAATCGGATTATCCAAGTGTCTAATGGGACACCAAAATAACTTCGGTATACCCATACCGTAGGAGGCTGCGGAGCTATTAAAAGACACAGGACTCTAGAAGGCTAACCACGGAACTGGTGAAACTCCTGACCTCAATTGCCAGTGGGTGGCTGGTGAACAAGAGGGGAGGGTGGGTATTTTTGGGTAAATGCCCTCCTGTGTCTATTGAGTTTTGTAAAAAACATATGTATGTTTTACC